CTGTATTTCATTTGATTTGCTTTATCATGACAAACCAGAATATATATGGTTTAGGGGTGGGGATCTCGACCATTTACAAGATATTAGAACTTTCTCAAATGGCAGGGGGTCGGGATGACCCCTGGGGAATAACCCTGTATATCATTCAAACCATCTTAACATGACAAACCAGAATATATATGGTTTAGGGGTGGGGATCTTGACCACTTACAAGGTATAAGAACTTTCTTAAATGACAGGGGGTGGGGGTGACCCCTGGGGACTAACTCTGTATTTCATTTGATTTGCTTTATCATGACAAACCAGAATATATATGGTTTAGGGGTGGGGATCTCGACCATTTACAAGATATTAGAACTTTCTCAAATGGCAGGGGGTTGGGATGACCCCTGGGGACTAACCCTGTATATCATTCAAACCATCTTAGCATGACAAACCAGAATATATATAGTTAAGGGGTGGGGATCTTGACCACTTACAAGATATTAGAACTTTCTTAAATGGCAGGGAGTGGGTGACCCCTGGGGACTAACCCTGTATTTCATTTGATTTGCTTTATCATGACAAACCAGAATATATATGGTTTAGGGGTGGGGATCTCGACCATTTACAAGATATTAGAACTTTCTCAAATGGCAGGGGGTCGGGATGACCCCTGGGGAATAACCCTGTATATCATTCAAACCATCTTAGCATGACAAACCAGAATATATATGGTTTAGGGGTGGGGATCTTGACCACTTACAAGGTATAAGAACTTTCTTAAATGGCAGGGGGTGGGGGTGACCCCTGGGGACTAACCCTGTGTTTCATTTGATTTGCTTTATCATGACAAACCAGAATATATATGGTTTAGGGGTGGGGATCTCGACCATTTACAAGATATTAGAACTTTTTCAAATGGCAGGGGGTCGGGATGACCCCTGGGGAATAACCCTGTATATCATTCAAACCATCTTAGCATGACAAACCAGAATATATATGGTTTAGGGGTGGGGATCTCGACCATTTACAAGATATTAGAACTTTCTGAAATGGTAGGGGGTGGGGGTGACCCCTGGGGACTAACCCAGTATTTCATTTAATGGGCTTTATCATTAAGAACATTTTCAATTAAAAAAATTGTGTCTATCACAAACGGTTTTCAGTTTATAATCATTTGAAAATTTAAAAAAATAAAATCCCATAGAGTTCTATAGTGAAACCCTCTTTTCTTTTTGCCCCTCAAAGTACCCCTTTATAAACCCCATTGCACAAACGAAACACGGATTGCACCACTAGACATGTTAGTCTAACATATTGTGAAACCCTAAGTTAATCTGACAAGCGGTTTTGGAGAACGGGTGCGGACAAGAAGAAGAAGAAGAAGATGAAGAAGAATAATAATAATAACTGAGCAAAAACAATAAGTCTTCCCAAACGAAGTTTGGGAGACTTAATTAACAATTGTTTTCAGCGTACTAGTAACTATATAAGAGTTAAGTGATACATGTATGTACTGAATAATTAACATTAATTTTCAGCATACTAGTAACTATATAATTGCTTAGCAATATATTGAATAATTAACATTTGTTTTCAGCATACTAGTATCAAACTATATGATATTTCAGTGATATATTGAATAATTAACAATTGGTTTCAGCTATAAGCAAGTATACATGTATATAGCTAAGTGATATATTGAATAATTAACATTTGTTTTTCAGCATATAAAAAAGTATATAATAGCTAAGGTATATATATATTGTTTTCAGCGTACTTGTAAATATAATTTACATGATATAAGACCTAAGTGATATATTCAATAATTAACATTAGTTTTCAGCATATTAGTAACTACATATTGTTGGTCTCATATAACAGATGCATAGATGAATGGATTGGTGTTTAATATACATGCATATCAGGAGGAGAAGATATTATTGTGATATGAACATAAACCCTGTAGTATTCAGTTGGAGATTCAGCATATCAAAATCGCGTTTTCATTTCAACTTTGTTCAGAAGCCAAAAATAGCCCAAAATCACTCACCTGGAAAAAAATATGCTTTTTGATATTATTTTTTAGACTGATTTGTAGATCCTATTGGGTTAAAATTTTTTTGCTATATACTAAACATCGCGCTTTTATCTTTCTTTAGTTGAGCCAAAAAAAATTTATATAATGCGTAAAAATAGTCATTTAGGGGCAATCACTCCTAAAAGGATTAAGTTGACAATTTTGGTCATTTTGACTTATTTGTAGGTCTGATAGTACTTAACACCTTTGCTAATTATTACAATACCTCTCTATATATAATAGTTCTGCAAATAAATAATATAATCCATCTTTCAAGGCAATAATTCCAAAAAGCGGTCAACTGTTTGACTTATTTGTTGATTTTATTTTGATAAACAGTTTTGCCTGTACAATTTCTCTTTATCTATAATAGTTTCTACAAAAAAACCACAAAAATGAGCATAATAAGGCTTTCAAGGGCAATAACTTTTTCAAGGGTCGGTTCATCCATGTTGACTTATTTGTATATCAAATTTAATACTATATACCCTTAGGATCATTCAGCCTCAGTTTGGTTGAAATTGGTCTGGTGGTTTCAGAGGAGAATGTCTTTCAAAAAGTTTACACTGGCTGACAGACAGACAAAAAATGCAAAGGGTTGGCAAAAGCTCACATGGCCTTTCTGGACAGATGAGATTAAATGGCAGGAACTCATTCAGCATGTTCAGATCTGAACTTGAAAATTTAAGCAAAGCTAAGACGGATGAAGACTTGCAAGTTTTAAATTTTGACATGCATTATAGGAAGGGATAAATTCACAAAATGTCCTCAGGACAGTATTCATCTTTCCAGCCAAAGTTTGTGTACTATTTGGAATGAATAAACAAGAGGCTCTAAAGAGCCTGAATCGCTCACCTGTATTTCAGAGGAGAAGATTTTTAAATGTTAGCAAACTTGATGAACAAATTGTGTAAAATTGTCTTTACAGGGCAATAACTCCTTAAGGGGTCAATTGACAATTTTGGTCATATTAACTTTTTTGTAGATCTTACTTTGCTGAACATTATTGCTGCTTACAGTTTATATATATCTATAATAATATTCAAAATAATAACAAAAAACTGCAAAATTTTATTAAAACTACCAATTCGGTGGCAGCAACCCAACAATGGGTTGTTCGATTCGTCTGATAATTTCAAGGCCGATAGATCTCGACCAATTAACAATTTTACCCCATGTCACATTTGCTCTAAAAGATTTAGTTTTTGAGATACAAGCCAAAAACTGCATTTGACCCTTATGTTCTATTTTTAGCCATGGCGGCCATGTTTGTCGATGGATACAAACTTCGGATACAATTTATAAACAAGATACCCTAAGGAACATTTAGTTAAAGTTTGAAGGTAATTGGCTAAATGTTAGCAAACTTGATGAACAAATTGTGTAAAATTGTCTTTAAAGGGCAATAACTCCTTAAGGGGTCAATTGACAATTATGGTCATATCAACTTTTTTGTAGATCTTACTTTGCTGAACATTATTGCTGCTTACAGTTTATATATATCTATAATAATATTCAAAATAATAACAAAAAACTGCAAAATTTTGTTAAAACTACCAATTCGGTGGCAGCAACCCAACAATGGGTTGTTCGATTTGTCTGATAATTTCAAGGCCGATAGATCTTGACCAATTAACAATTTTACCCCAAGTCACATTTGCTCTAAAAGATTAAGTTTTTGAGATACAAGCCAAAAACTGCATTTGACCCATATGTTCTATTTTTAGCCATGGAAGCCATGTTTGTCGATGGATACAAACTTCGGATACAATTTATATACAAGATACCCTAAGGAACATTAAGTAAAAGTTTGAAGGTAATTGGCTAAATGTTAGCAAACTTGATGAACAAAATGTGTAAAATTGTCTTTAAAGGGCAATAACTCCTTAAGGGGTCTATTGATAATTATGGTCATTTTAACTTTTTTGTAGATCTTACTTTGCTGAACATTATTGCTGCTTACAGTTTATATATATCTATAATAATATTCAAAATAATAACAAAAAACTGCAAAATTTTGTTAAAACTACCAATTCGGTGGCAGCAACCCAACAATGGGTTGTTCGATTCTTCTGAAAATTTCAAGGCCGATAGATCTTGACCAATTAAACAATTTTACCCCATGTCACATTTGCTCTAAAAGATTTAGTTTTTGAGATATAAGCCAAAAACTGCATTTGACCCCTATGTTCTATGTTTAGCCATGGCGGCCATGTTTGTTGATGGATCAAAACTTCAGATACAATTTATAAACAAGATACCCTAAGGAACATTTACTTAAAGTTTGAAGGTAATTGGCCCAGTAGTTTCAGAGGAGAAGATTTTTAAATGTTAGCAAACTTGATGACAAATTGTGTAAAATTGTCTTTAAAGGGCAATAACTCCTTAAGGGGTCAATTGACAATTATGGTCATATAAACTTTTTTGTAGATCTTACTTTGCTGAACATTATTGCTGCTTACAGTTTATATATATCTATAATAATATTCAAAATAATAACAAAAAACTGCAAAATTTTGTTAAAACTACCAATTCGGTGGCAGCAACCCAACAATGGGTTGATTGATTCGTCTGAAAATTTCAGAGCTGATAGATCTTGACCAATTGACCAATTTTACCCCTCGTCAGATTTGCTCTTAAAGCTTTAGTTTTCAAGATATAAGCCAAAAACTGCATTTGACCCCTATGTTCTATGTTTAGCCATGGCGGCCATGTTTGTTGATGGATCAAAACTTCGGATAAAACTTATAAACAAGATACCCTAAGGAACATTTAGTTAAAGTTTGAAGGTATTTGGCCTAGTAGTTTCAGAGGAGAAGATTTTTTAAATAGTTTACGACGACAGACGACGGACGCCAAGTGATGGCATAAGCTCACATGGGGCCCTTCGGGCCCTGGTGAGCTAAAAATGTAGCATTAAAGAGTGGCTGGGAAAGTATCAACCAACATTGAACTTAACAACAAAGGAGAACAGATATTGACTACAATAAAGTATACATCATCGATCATTCATGGGTGTTAAGTTACAACTTTTGAATAGTATGATATTACAATAAAACAATTGTTGTCTGTTCATATCAACCAATACATATTTATATTGACCCATGAAGGTATGGTGACTTAAAACTGTGTCTTCAGTAAATATACTTTCATCATGTCATAAACCATGTATTGACTGCCATGAAAAGGTTATAATTATATAATTAACATAATTACTCTGGATTACTTTGGTTATTACTTTAAAATAATTTTGATATAACTACTTATTTCTAATTTATAATGATTACTTATAATAAAAATACTTGTTATCACTGATAATATTTAAACATTACTTGTATTTACTCTAAACTACCAAACAGGATTACTTGGATTTATATAAAAATATTACTTGTAGTTATTGATATTGATTACACAAAATTACTGATTTCATTAAACTTCTAGAAATTACTAAGAAATAACTTACTAGTATCAGTTTTACTAGTAATTACTAATAACTACTACAACTGATTACTAATTTTGACAATTTCCATTACTTAGAATTACTTTTTTTTGTAATTCTAGACAGTATTTGTTTTAATATGTTTCTACCTTTAGGGTAACTTTTGCTGACATCAGCTGAATGCTGTAACAGTTCTTTAACTACATTACCATGTCCACTTTGCCTTGCTATAGACAGAGGTGATATACCATTATTACTACAGCAATTTACATCTGCTGAATGTTGTAACAGTTCTTTAACAACATCAAGCTGTCCTTCCTGGCTTGCTATAAACAGAGGTGATGTGCCAGTACTATCACACATATTAACTTCTACTGAATGATGTAACAGTTCTTTTACAACATTAACATGTCCTTCTTGACTTGCTAAAAAAAGAGGTGATGCACCATTATCCTTACATAGATTTACTTCTGCTGAATGAATTAGTAGTTCTTTAACAACATTTACATTTCCCTCCTGACTTGCTATACACAGAGGTGATGTACCATCATCCTTACATAGATTGACCTCTGCTGCATGTTGTAACAATTCTTTAACAGCATTTAATTGCCCTTTCTGACTTGCTATCAACAGAGGTGATGTACCAGTACTATCACACTTATTTACCTCTGCTGAATGTTGTAACAATTCTTTAACAACTTCAGTCTGTCCTTCCATGCTTGCTAGCCATAGAGGTGAAACACCATTATTTCTACAGCAATTTACCTCTGCTGCATGTTCTAACAATTCTTTAACAACATTAACATGTCCCTTTCCACTTGCTACCATCAGAGGTGATGCACCATTATCCCTACACAGATTTACCTCTGCTGAATGTTGTAACAGTTCTTTAACAACTTTTACGTGTCCTTCCTGACTTGCGATCAACAGAGGTGATGTCCCAGTATCATCACACCAATTTACTTCTGTTGCATGTTGTAACAATTCTTTAACAACATTAACATGTCCCTTTCCACTTGCTATCAACAAAGGCGATTGACCATTACTATCGCACTTATTTACATCTGCTGAATGTTGTAACAGTTCTTTAACTACATCAACATGTCCCTTCAAACTTGCTTGCCATAGAGGTGATAAACCATAATACAAACATACATTGACTTCTGCTGAATGTTGTAGCAGTCCTTGAACAACATTAACATGTCCTTCCTGACTTGCTTGAAACAGAGGTGATGCACCATCATCCATACAAAGATTGACATCTGCTGAATGTTGTAACAGTTCTTTAACAACATCCACGTGTCCTTGCTGACTTGCTATAAACAGAGGTGATTCACTAACATCCCTACAAAGATTGACCTCTGCTGAATGTTGTAACAGTTCTTTAACAACATTAACATGTCCTTTCAAACTTGCTACAAACAGAGGTGATGCACCATCATCAAGACACTTATTTACCTCTGCTGAATGTTGTAAAAGTACTTTAACAACACTCACATGTCCATTCAAACTTGCTAGCCATAGAGGTGTGGCTCTATCATCCCTACAAAGATTGACATCTGCTGAATGTAGTAGCAATTCTTTCACAACATCAACATGTCCTTTCTGACTTGCTACTAACAGAGGTGATACATTGTTACTCATACATAGATTTACTTCTGCTGAATGTTGTAACAGTTCTTTAATTACATCAACATTTCCTTCGTGACTTGCTAAATACAGAGGTGATGACCCACTTTTCATACATAGATTTACTTCTGCTGCATTTTGTAACAATTCTTTAACAACATATACATGTCCCTTCTGACTTGCTACACACAGGGGTGATGCACCATCCTCATTACATAGATTGACCTCTGCTCGATGTTGTAACAGTTCTTTAATTACATCAACATTTCCTTCCTGACTTGCTAAATACAGAGGTGATGATCCACTATTCATACATAGATTTACTTCTGCTGCATTTTGTAACAATTCTTTAACAACATATACATGTCCCTTCAAACTTGCTACACACAGGGGTGATGCACCATCCTCATTACATAGATTTACCTCTGCTCGATGTTGTAACAGTTCTGCAACAACTACAACTTGTCCCTCCATACTTGCTTGCCATAGAGATGATTTACCACTGTTACTACAGTGATTCACCTCTGCTGAGTGTTGTAACAGTTCTTTAACCACAGTAACATGTCCCTTCCCACTTGCTACCAACAGAGGTGATGCACCATTATCCTTACATTGATTTACTTCTGCTGAATGTTGTAACAATTTTTTAACAACATTTATATGTCCATCCCGACTTGCTGTAAAGAGAGCAGTTGCACCAATGATATCACACTTGTTTACTTCTGCCGAATGTTGTAACAGTTCATTAACAACATCAACATGTCCTTCTCGACTTGCCCAAAATAAAGCGGAGCAACCATATTTCGAACAATGATTAATGTTACTTTTCCTCTTAATCAACCACCTGACCAAGTCAACAGAACCCACAGCACAACTTTCTCCAAGTGCTATATCTTTACTGTATATATCTTGTGTACCAATAAGTGTTTCCTGTGTATAATGATCAAGTTGGTTTATATTGCTTATAAATGTTTCTGTAAAGGAAGATGATTTCATGTTTCTGTTTAGAAAAACTTGTTCTACAAAACCATTCCCCCAATCTTTCAGCAGTCTTTCTATATATCGGTTAATATTATTATCAGGTATTCTGATGGCAAATTCTACTTCTGTGCCCATGGTGTCTGCTGTCTTCCATAAAAATCTCTCACTAATGAAGGGAGTTTGAGCATGATCAATAAAGAGTTGTATCATCTTCTCCCCAAAGTGTTTGGCCAGGATATCAAACAATTTATCATGGATTATTTTATATGTACTCTCTTCCTTGATCACATACGTACCATCAAGTGTGTCAAGTGATTTCTTTAAACTTTTGATAGGTGTTCCTTTTTTCAGTTCACATTCTTCTAGTACATCATCTATGACTGCTACCATCTCCTTATCTTTTGTGATGAAGTTTTCTTCTGTCAATGTGTTATTAAACATCACACACAGGACCAGACTACAATAAGTAACCTTACCGGCCTTACCTACTCGATACAGTTCCACAAGTTCATTTTCAAAAACACTAAAAGGATTGTTGAAAAAATCTTCTAAGTTTACATGTTTCTGGAGTTTCTGTTTATGATATAAACTACATAAAAGTGGGAAAAAATCGTATTTTTCTGACAACTCTGCAACTTTATCAGCATTATTCTTAAAGTACACTTCAGCAAGAGCAAATTTTTCAGCCCTGTTAAGTCTAAATTCCTCTGAGCTTAAATCAATAGTACAGGTTTTGAATATAGACAGACTGTTGAGTTGTTCGTTTTTATGAACATCTAGTCTACAAGTCGACATAATTTTACAACAGCTGTCTTCAAGAAGAGATTGAATGTGTTCAAGCCGTTGCGTCCACTCATTGAAAATCTGTTGATTAAGTGTATACCGCCCACAGATGTCATCAAAGACAAATACTGTTTTCCTTCCATGTTTAAACCATTGTCTAATATCTCCAGGGTTATCACATGGAATTATAATATAGCCTTGTTCCATCATCGTCAGAGCAACATGACGAGAAAGGAAACTTTTTCCAGTACCCGAATTACCAATAATTGTAACAGAACTTTCTGTCAAAATAAATTTCCTAACTTGTTTTTCTGCTGCCGTACCAACATACTTTTTATCATCTGCTTTCCACTGCTTCAAGCGTCGTTCAAACTGCTCTGCAAAAATAAATATATATATAAATAAAATGCTACGAAATACAGAGCTTGATACGACCGGAGGTTTAAACCAAGAGCAGTTGGGGCAAGTATGGACACAACATGTAAGCTTGATACAGTCCTGAATTTGGATGGTGATAAAATATTTGACACAGCATAGGCTTCAGACATAGATTTGATGTGGTCTCAGAACTTTGAAATTGGACATTTACCTTTTGTCGAAATCTTTATTCAATTTTAGACTCAGTATATCAAAGAACCCAAAAGTATTCAATTATTGCTGAAATCAAAAAATAAATATCAAAAATTAAAATAAACGTGAATTGTATACCCTTTGGGCCACAACATTTTAAAACAGGGCCCATTATCAAAAAAAGAAAACCCTACAAATTCAATTTTTGTTGAAATCAAACGAAGTTAAATTTTGGACCCCAATTTAAACCAGCTTGAAAATTGGTCCAAATATAAAAAAATCAGTTTTCAGTATATCAAAGAACCACATATACATAAGTTTTGTTAAAATCAAAATAAGTTTAATATTGGACCCTTTTGAGAATATTGTTACCAATTTGAAAACGGGGCTAAAAATAAACAAGAGACTGTCAGAGTGACAGCAAACCAGATTTTTTAACATTATTTATGACCTGTCATTTTTCAATATCACAAGGATCATAACTCCTTATCGATAAACATGACAATCATCAATATTAAACTTGACCTCCATTTTGTCATTAGTAACAACATATTAAAATTTTGAAAGCTTTGGTTGATCGGTCAATGCGTTAAAGCACAGACACCATTGGAAACACAATTTTTCAAACTTTCAAGATCAGAACAACAACTCCTGAACGGTGAAAGTGAAAATTGTCAATATCATAGTTGACCTGAGTTTCGACATCAGTAGCAACATTAAAATTTGGAAATCTTTGGTTAAATGGTTCATGAGTTACAGCATGGACACGACTGGAAACACCAATTCAATCTCTCAAAAAATATAATTCCTGAACCGTGAAAGTGAAAATCAATAATATTGAACTTGACCTTAATTTTGTCATCAGTAACAGCATATTAAAATTTGAAAAAAGCTTTGGTTAAACAGTTCATAAGTTAAAGCACGGACATGACTGGAAACCCATTTTTTAATCTTTCAAGAACCATAACTCCCGAACGGTGAAAGTGAAAATCGTAAATATCAAACTTGACGTTAATTTTGTCATCAGTAACAACATATTTAAATTCTAAAAGCTTTGGTTGATTTGTTCATGGGTTAATGCATGGCCACTGTTTGGCAGCTGTACACCCGCCCACCGTACATCTCCAAATCAATAACAGATTTTTCTTTTGAAAATCTGGTTAAAAATCTAAATACACAATTAGATTCAGCACATTGAAGAACCTCAAGAAATCAATGCCTTTTAAACTTTGGATCCATTTGGAATTAAAGTGGACTATTTTAAAAATGGCGCCAGAAAAATAAAAAATATTTATACATTATAAGATTTGGCATATGAAATTAAAGACCCTCAATAACTCAATATCAATGATATCATACAAAGTTAAATTTTGGACAATTTGGACTTCAATCATGTCAATGTTGACCAACTTAGAACGGGGCCAAAAATCCAAAATCTGTATACACGGTTTGAGAACTTGTTAAGTCATAAAGTCAAGAGAACCAATGCTGATAGTGTGTTCGTCTATAACCTCGTCGTTGTAACCTGTGTTACTTGATATTAAGTAAGATTTCTGTACATGTGCTTTATTCGTTTTTTCCTAGAAATAAGTTGTAATATTTTGCTCAAATGAACTTACCAAGTATATTTTTAGGGATGACTTCATCTTGTGTACGAGCTAATTCTTCTATTTTGGCGTGAATCACATGAAAATCTAAAAAGGCAAAAAAGATACTTTTTATGGAATGGTAATGTAAATATCTTACGATTGTTAATATTTCTAAATGTTTGCATGTCATGTTTAATATCCAATAAACACTTAAATGTTGTAAACAAAGCAATGTTTATTGTTACATGTGTTAGTAAATAAGCCTTTACACGAACAATTTCAATTTGAGTTCTCAGCATCAATCATTGGAATGAGGTTTGATGGCAAATTGACCATTTTAAAACATGATTTCTATAGAATATTTTGCTTCCCATTATGTTGCAAAGCTATTAATTTCATACAATATTCACACATTCTTTAGATAGGGCTAAGGTTCTTTTAGCAAAAATGAGGTACAGAATTGGAAACATGTTAATGACAGAGAAGATATTAAATATGGAAAATAAGGCATAAAATTACAGTAAGAGCAAAAAAACCTTACGACTAAGTTTTTTCTTAAGTATATTGAATTGTTCATGACTTACGATCAATATCAATCGTAAGTTTTTTTGTGAAACCCACTCCTGATCACTATCATTGCATCATGTTGTGACCAAAACACATTTTGTAGGAAGCACTGCAGCGCTTCATAGTAACAAGAGTGCACACGCTGAAATGTCTCGCCTTCTTTACTAATCATTGATATTATGTTGATTAGTCCTAAATATAAAGCTTTATTACAACTGTCACATAAACTTAACATTAACCAAGAAAACTTAACATTGACCAATGAACCATGAAAATGAGGTCAAGGTCAGATGAATCATGCCAGGCAGACATGTACAGCTAACAATTCTTACATACAAAACTATAGTTGCTTATATATAGTTTAAGAAAAACAGACCAAAACACAAAAACTTAACACTGAGCATTGAACCTTGAAAATGAGGTCACGGTCAAATAAAACCTGCGCGACTGACATATAGATCATTAAATATTTCCATTCATCAAATATAGTTGACCTATTGCATATAGTATTAAAAAAAAAGACCAAAACTCAAAAACTTAACTTTGACCACTGAACCATGAAAATGAGGTTAAGGTCAGATGACACCTGCCAGCTATACATGTACACCTTACAATCATTCCATATGCAAAATATAGTACACCTATTGCATACAGTATAAAAAAAACAGACAAAAACACAAAAACTTAACTATAACCACTGAACCATGAAAATGAGGTCAAGGTCAGATGACACCTGCCAGTTGGACATGTACACCTTACAGTCCTTCCATACACCAAATATACTAGACCTATTGCTTATAGTATCTGAGATATGGACTTGACCACCAAAACTTAACCTTGTTCACTGATCCATGAAATGAGGTCCAGGTCAAGTGAAAACTGTCTAACGGGCATGAGGACCTTGCAAGGTACGCACATACCAAATATAGTTATCCTATTACTTATAGTAAGAGAGAATTTAACATTACAAAAAATCTTTACTTTTTTTTCAAGTAGTCACTGAACCATGAAAATGAGGTCAAGGACATTGGACATGTGACTGAAGGAAACTTGGTAACATGAGGCATCTATATACAACCTTTCACAGAATATAAATGATGTAGAAGTTTATCAATATTAAGTCTTCCATCAAATGTTACTTTATCTGATCCTTGCCCAAATGATACCACAGCAACAAATGACAATCACTGATTTAAAGGCTACTGACTTGGGACAGGCACATACAACATTTGACAGGGTTAAACATGTCAGCTGGTCCGAAACTCCCCCTAACTTGAAACTGTGGTGTAACTATACAAAATAGTTCACTTAAGCTTTTATCATCAACTTTTGCAAAAATTAACAAAAAAAACATTGTTAAATAAACAGGTCAAACCTACTATCTATTTCTTTTCTTACATTATCTTTCTTGCATTAAATTGTAAATTAATGCAACCAAAAATAAGGTTATCACAGAACATCACATTTTGATGTTACAGTGTCCAACATTGCATGTCTAAAAATTTGATGGCAATTGAGTTAATGACTTCTTAAAATGCATAAAGCAAAATGATACACCTCCTAAAATGACAATGTTTATTTAAGCACTTATTTTTCTGCTACAAGACAATGCCATATTGAAATTGTATAAAGTGTGCTGAAAAATCTCGCCTTCTGTACTAACCATTGATTTTATGTTGACAGTCCTGAATATAAAGCTTTACTACAACTATCACATTAACTTAACATGATCTAAGAAAATGAGGTTAAGGTCAGATAAACCAAACTGGAAATACATGTACACCTTTCAATCATTCAATAGAAAATGAGGTCATAGTCAGATAATAATTCCCAGACAGTCATAATCACTTTACAATCATTCCATACACGAAATCTGGATGA